AGAAGAAGAAGAAGAAGAAGAAGAAGAAGAAGAAGAAGAAGAAGAAGAAGAAGAAGAAGAAGAACAACAACAACAACAACAACAACAACAACAACAGAAATCAGCAATTCTTAGAGAAGGGAAGAAAAGGAGGTGAGCTCCTGAACTTTAACGAGTGTCCTCTAGGTTCCTATAGTTTTGTGAGTAGAAACCCAGAGAGGTAGAGGTAGACAACAGTGGCTAAATTTGGCAGGGAGCACTGGAGAGAAGGTGAAGCCTGAAATCTGAAGAGGATCCAACTTGGCTACAACACTATGAAGGTAAATTATCTTATGAATTAAAGGGTACACAATATCAACTAGGAATATTAGTGGAATATTATGAACCTTGAGAAAGTTTTGCTGGTTATCATACAGGATGGAAAACTATATAATTTCAAACAGATATTGGTGAACAATGGAGCAAAACTAGGCTTACACTAAGGGCTGCTGAGAAAGCACAAAAAACAAGGTCCAAAAGGACAGAGCTCTTTCAACCAACTTAACTATATCAGATAAAGCTCAGGAATTTTCATAAAAATGCAAACTTAGACAACAGTAACCACGGTAAAAGTCACAATGTTTATAATCCAATAAAATTACATGCATGCAAAAGACAGGAATGTATGAGTGAAAAGAAAAATCTATTAATTCAAACCAACACAGAGATGACACAGTCGACAGAATTAGCTCAAAATGACATTCAAAAGATGTTTAACTGTGTTCCATATACATATGTTCATATATGTGTATAGTATACATATATATGTGATCTTAATAGAATATCTACAGAATAAATGACAATGTATGTACCTTAAAAAAATATTCTGGGAGCTGTGGTTGTGACTCAGCAGTAGAGTGCTCACCTAGCACATGCAAGGCTCTGGGTTCAATCCTCAGCACCACATAAAAATAAATAAAATAAAGGTATTGTTTCCAACTACAACTAAAGATAAATATTAAAAAAGATAAATATTCTGCATGGATTTAAAATTGATTAAACATTACAGAAATAATTAATGAATTTGAAGATGTTGTGGAATGTGGTACATACTAAATGACAGACACATTCATGAGACCTAATAACATTTATATTCCCTGAAGGAGAAGAAGATGGGGGAAGAAATTGAAGATTCAATGCCTAAAAATTTTCCCAGCTTCACAAAAGATATAAATTCACAGATCCAAGAAATTCAATAAAGTTTAAGCAAAAAAGAAATGAAGTCCATTATTGTAAGTCATATTCCAATCAATTGAATTAAAATTACTGAAAAATTAAAAGCAGCATGAGGAACAAAAGATTCCATACAGGAAGAAACATTATTACAGAGCAAAATATTTACCATACTGTTAGAAAACCAGCAATCTGTAGTATTGTACTAATCCAAAATGGCACAAAATAAGAGGAAACAAGGAAAAAATGAAACAATCAGAAAAAAAAAATGGCAAGATGACAAACTTAACAGTATGAAAAATCACAGTATAAACATTTCATTTAAAAGAAATAATATTAAACTGGGTTATAAAGCAAGACCATATACCTACAATGCAAGTCATGTTTTAATTAAAAACAATAATTAAAAAAGAGGAAGGCCACATATTAATAGCAGACTGTTGTATAACACACCTAAAGCTATGCTAACAGAGAAAGTTATATCACTATGATGTATATTTAAGAAAAATGTAAAATTAATATCTCAAATAAATAACTTCATATTGTAAGTCAAAGAAACAGGGAGGGGGAAAAAAGCAAAATATCCACAATATAAACAGAAAAAAGAATGTAATATCAAAACAAATGCATTGAAATAGAAATAACTGAATGGAGAAAATAGACAAAGTGAGGTAGTTAACTGTTATAAATTTTATAATATGATTTGACTAATAAAACATACATATTGTTGCCTGGTGCAGAATTTATTGATGAGATGAAAATATTTCTGGAGAAAGGAGTGTTAAGAATTGATAAAGGTTGATGAGACACCTCACCTGAGTAAATGAACAAGTAACCTTGGTGTCATGGAATAATTAACATGCCTCTTGCAACATTTATTGACTTCTTAATATGCAAATATAGGATACAAATTAGGAAAGACCACAGACTACCGTTAAGATGTGGTCTTCTTATGATTCAGAAATTCTTAATGATCAAACAATAAGATAGTTCATTATCGAAATATGTTGAGACTCTGCATTGACAACAACTTTTTAACAGTGGATTACTTTCATTTTAAAAAGGTACAATTAATCATTTTTAAAATGAACATGTAGGATTTCTATCAAAAACATTTATTCATATCAAATGCTAAGGAGAAATGAAGGTATGACCAACCTAGATGACATATTTAGAAACTGGCCCAAACCATTAAAGGCAGAAACTCATTAAGCATTTGTAGTTACTAATGTGGCAAATTTCTTATTTTCTTTAAAAAATAGGAAGGTGTTATCAAGTTGAGATATTAGAGGGAAAAAATGTTAACACCAATCACTGAAAAGCCAATCCATCATTATAGTGGAACAGCCAAACTATCTCTATTTTCACTATAAGAACATTTTATTACAATGTGTTATTAGTACTATCATATAGATTTGTAAATTTTTGGATAATTGCCAAATTTGTGAAGCCCCCTATGAAGTTACAAATATATGTGATTTAAAAGCAAAAAATAAATAAGAATTTGTTTCTCTTTGAGCATTGCAAAGAAGCTGCATGTATTTTAAACACAGAGTTTTAACATATTCACATATGGGGACAAAAAGGCAATAAACATGTACCATTTCAATAACATAAAAATTCACATTGTATTAGAAATGAACATTCTAGTACAGATAAATTAATCATAGAAAAACTGTTAATTTTTCATTTTATTTAAAGACTTTTTAAAAATAATATGGGAATTTATTTTTTTAATATTTATTTTTAGTTGTAGTTGGACACAATACCTTTGTTCATTTATTTTTATATGGTGCTGTGGATCAAACCCAGAGCCTCACACTTGCTGAGCCACAACCCCAGTCCCTAATATGGGCATTTATAATGATAAAAATATATGTATATTGATAATAATATGAGTATACTGTTATGAATATTTTTATGTATAATGATAATAATATTTTTCAGAGTAAATATTTTCTTGTATAAAATTATAATTTTATAAAAATATTTTATTATATTTATTTATATTATTTTTGTATATGGACTCAAAACTTTGTTTTTATGTGGTGCTAGCATTGAACTCAGTGCCTTGTGAGGCAAGTGCTCTACCACTGAGCTACAACACCAGCTCCTATAAAAATATTTTAAGAGTAAAATATTTTCTTGTATAAACTAGAATGAATCTCATAAAAATAATGTTTAATAATATACAAAATATAAAATTTGAAAACAATCATTTACTTTTTAAACAGGGAGATTCAGTAAATGATTTTCTACTCAACCTAAAATTACCAAATTTTAAGCTCTAGTTATGATCCATAGAATAAAATATTCTAGAACATTTCTTGGTTACAAAGTTTAACATGTTCAATTGTATATTAGTGCCATTAACTAATAGAATTTTTAGCAGAATTTATTTTGTGCAGAAACATTACTTTGCAAATTGACACTTTGGAAAGTCCTAAAATAAAAACTAGGTAATATGTATATTCATTAATATTCTATGTCTTAAGGATGGCATGAAAAAAGTCTACCAATTATTTTTCTTAAGAGTAAAATTTAAAGAAAAGTGGAATTATAGGTATTTTACTAGCCACATATTTAAACGGAAAAGGTATTATTTATCTACCTCTTCTGTCCATTCTAACTTCCTCTACATATCTACACATCAGCACCCATCTGTCCTATTCATAGTTATTTAGGTATCAATTACATTCCCATTCTCCTTAAGAAAATTTTTCTAAGAATCATTGAGATTTTTCACTTATTTAAAGCTTTGAAACAATAAATATAATATTGAAATATTGGAAAAGTATTATAGTCTACTAGTTGTTAGTACTTTAACCTTTCCATTGACTTATATATCATTATTTCTTTAGTAATGATGTAGTATATGAACATATAAGTGTTCATATTTGAATTACGATGAACTAGTGCAATGTTTCACCAAAATTTTAATTTAAGGTAGGTTTAGTGGCTCTTTTTGAAAGTACATAGCTTTATATTTTTAGGAGAGAAATATATATTTCCAATTTCTTTCTTAAATCATTTTTACGTGCATTTTGATTTAACAAAGAAGAACAATGGGGAAGAATCACATCAAAAGTGAGATTCAATTCCCTGACTAACCCTGAAGCTAGACAGACTGCCTGATTTTTTTAAGAACCAAAGTGTCACTATTGGGCTATTTATATACTTAGTGTCTTGATCTTATCATCCTCAGAAAAAATATCATAGTAATATCTAGAATTGTAAGACTCTAATTAAATAATATATCTAAATGGCTTTAAAAACATCTCAACTAAGAGTTTTTAATCTGTGTTTATTTCTGTGGTTGACTGACATTGCGCAACACATTTGTCTCCAGATGGCTTGAAAATAGATTATATATCTGCAAACATAACTTTTCTGAAAGTACTTACTTAATTAAATTGTTCATGGCATCTGGGTCATATGCTGTGACTTGTCCAATGATGCTACCCTCCTTTACATCCTCATCGACTTCTATCAAGTAGGAGTGTCTACTGAACACAGGAGGCTCATCTGTGTCTTCCACAGATATTTTGATTACAGCTGTGTCTTTGAAAGGTCCCAGGTGTAAGAATCGGGGATCAGGATGAGTGTTACTTGCATCCACTCTTAAAGTGTACAGCATTTTTTTTTCAAAGTCTAAATTCTGATATTAGATAAAACAAGAAAATATTAGCACAATTTACAAGCCATAACCATAGGTGAAAATTTCTAGATATAAAGTCCTGATTTTTAATGATACAGGCAATTAAGACTAAGTAACTTACACACACACACACATCTATATATGTGTATATATATATATAATATAATATATATTATATACCTGTGTATATATATATAATATATATTATATAATATATATTATATAATATATGAAATAAATATGTAGATTTTTTTCTTTTGCCTCATACTTACTTATACAGGTTTAATTAAATATAATGGAATATGCAAGTAAGATTGATTCACATTCAGTATTGTACTTCAGTATTTTTAGGCACAGATAAATGAGGTATTCTTTAATGAATATAATGATTATATATTATTGGCATTAAAGTTATACATAATTAAAACCAGAAGAAAAGTTGACTGATGTAAAATCTCAGAGAAAAATTGTTTATATTTCATTTATTTGACTGTAACATATGAGTAAATTGTAAAATAATATTGACCTACATTATTCCATGTAAAGTTTCGAAATATTCCCCTAAAATGCATTAAAAATTAGTATAATCAACATAAAACACATGCCATTTTTATCTTTTATTTATTTATATAAACCATTACACCTAAAATTAGAACATTTTAAAAACTGTGTGAAATAACAGTGATAGCTACATGCTTATTTTTTCTCCCATAAAGAGAGATTAAACAGGTTACTTTTAGTATTATCTTAGTTTGATGGCTGTCTACTACAAATGCAAGCAATTGAGCTTTCAAACCACTGTATAAGTGTGAATGATACAGACGCTTTACTTATTTGAAGTGAAATCACAGCTATTCCCACTTACGTGAAAGGTAGACAGCATATAAAAGAAACAGAAAAATAAATCCAAGACTTTTCTTCCTTTACTGAGAAGCAAGAATAAACTAAAGAGCACTCAAGGGAAAAATGAAGACAGCAAAAAGAAACCTGTTTGACAGTTATAATCCCTTCCTGTGTATCCTTGTCAGTGATGACATCGAACATGTCCGCTCCCTCTCCTTCGGCAATGCTGTACTCCACCTCAGCGTTTTCCCCCAAGTCGGGGTCATTGGCTTTTATCCTTCCAAGATGGGTTCCCAGAGGTGCAGACTCAGGAGAACTAAACTGGTACGTACCTGTAAATTAAATCAGTACTGCTTTGGCATTTCCTTTTTAGATGATGAAATTGTGTCATTTCTTCTCTTTTTTACTTAAATAAATTAATTCTAAATTGGAAGAGATTTCCATATTATTGAATTTTAAGGTGTCAAAATTTATAGATTTATTAAGTTAGAAGAAGAATATATAAAGGCAAAAAATTCATAAGTGAGAAATATAAGTTTTGGGAAGCTATTTACAGATGGGAAATGTGATATCAGAATCTAAAGTTATTTATTTAAAAGAACATAAAAACCAACTATTTATTGCTTATATGGAGATTCAAAATTGTTATCACATATTTTTACATCAGTACAATTGTTTTAAAAATACGTGTTTATTCTTTTATTTTTTTAAATCAGGGATAGAAAAACAACTCTGCAGAGATCAATGTCAATGCTCCCCTCACTTTTATTTTGTGTTTATTTGTTTCAAATTTAATGTATTTTTAGTAGATTTTATTTTGTTTGTTTATGTTTTCTGTAGACCCACCCATTCAATACCTCACATTCTGTTATTCCTGAAAGTATTTTAATTTGTAAGTATTCAAGAATCAATAGGAAAAATGTCCAAGAAAAATTAATTAAAGTAAAAAAATACTTTTAAAAATATTTTTATGTGTTGGACAGTATAGTCAAATGTTCTCTACAGTAGTTTATTTTTCCTCTAAATAACAATGTAGGTATTATCTTCAGGATCAGGTTGAAGAAAATCATCCTCCAAATTTAGGTAAAGGAAAATGCCAGTTGTCTCTGACTTCATAGTCTATTCTTTTTCCAGTGTTTGATAGTTAAAAATATAAGCTTATAAGTCCACTGTATGAGTTTAAGTTGTCTTCCTGTGCAAGGTAATTAAATTTTCTAAACTTTGAAAACCATGTTTTCATCTATAAAATGAAAAAGAAAATGCTAGCATTTGAATTATAAGGTTGTTGTATTATATAAAATCATGTCTGTAATTCCTTCAGCTCAAGATCTAGTCCTCAGCATTTTATTAGTACTATCATACTTTCAAATATTTGTTAAGATTAATTAATTAATTAATTAATTAAAATAGATAATTTGGATCCAATCAGACCAACTGCAGAGACCACATTCCAACCAGGAAGATCATTCAGAATTTAGCCTGGGAAGTTTTCAACACTCCAAAAAGTAGAAAAGGATAGTAAAAAGCCGAAACTGCAAAAGAACCTTATGTCCTTGTTTTGTCCCTTTGCCTACCCAATGAAGGAAATGATACCCATCACTTGAAAGAAATTGTGCTTCTGTGTGTGTGCGAATAGAGGGATGGGTTTTGGATTTGATAGTTTGCATAAATTACTAGTGAACTGATAGTGCAAACATTAGATTTAAATAATTGTATGTTTGACAAGTTTTTCAACAAGAGATCACTAAACCTTCCTTACTCTGTGGAAATCGAGGAGGATTGTTGTTTACATCTGTCAGAGTGATGTTCACTGTTGTGGTTCCAGAAAGGCCTCCCATCTGGCCACCCATATCTTTGGCCTGTATAACCACCTGGTACTGCTCTCGATTTTCTCGGCTCATGTCTGGTAATGCAGTTTTTATTATGCCTTTTGAAAAAAAAAAAGACAATTAAACCACTGGTTTTTAAAATTAAGTTATTTAAGATTCACTTTATATAAGTTAATCATAGCAAATAGATAAAACACCAGTGTGATTAAGCATATCCTTCAATGCACAATTAATTCAACATAATTCATAAAACCGAAAGATTTTTCCCATGGGTTATTCTCCAGGAAATCAGTACATCCAGATGTATATAATGAGAAATATACCATGTCATAAGTGTTTTACCTGACTCTGGGTCCACTGAAAAATATGGCTGTCCTTGCAATATACTGTAGACCACTTTGGCACTATTTCCATAGTTGGCATCGTCTGCATCTGTTGCAGTCACTTGTACAACAGATGTACCTACAAAAAGCCCCCAAATATAAACACGTAAATACTTCCAAATTGGAAAAATGAACTTGTGTACTTGTACTATGTAATAATTTTTAATAATGCAGTTAGTAGTATTTACTAATAAAGACTAAAATAAAAATTTTAGTAAAATTCACTAAAAAATGTATACTGATATCTATTTAATTTTATATTACAAACATTTCTTTATTTTTGGTTAGTAAGAAGTCCCAATCTTTTAAAAACTAGAAGTGCTTTAAAAATTAGTTTTAGGAGATAAACAAAGGGAATATATTAGTTGTTTCACCTACACACATGTATGTATATATATGTATGTATACTTTATGTACATATACATAAAAATATGTACATATTTTTTAACTCAATTGCTATAAAGACTAAAGAATGATTTTAAAATCTTAACTGAAACCTACTATGGATTCCCCTGAGCAAAATGATTTTGTAGAACATTTTAAGTACATTATACACAACTTTTCAAGTTTAATTATATCACTCCGATATTAATGTGTTTGAGGACTGAGTGAATTCCTCATTGGTTCTGTCATCTATCCTGATACCCCATATATACTATTCACTCATAAACTTCTCTAAGTGAATTGCAGTGAATATCTCTCAATTTTGAATGCATATACTAATGCAAATTTCATTAAATAAATATGATGTCCATTGAGATTAACACTAACAACTCATTTCCCATCAAATCATTTCAATAGTACCCCATTAATTCAGCGACAGTTGTTTATGTTTTCTTAAATTAATTCACATACAATGGTAACTTGAGTTCACCCACTAAAAACATCTCCTCATCTGTAATGGAATTGATATATCCTGTGACAGGAAACACTACATACTCACTAGATCCATGTCAATTATAAGATTTATCATTGAAAAGTTATCCAACCTCACCCCAAATTTTAAACTAGTTTTCTCCTTAATAATTTTTGAAAGTTCATCTAAGTTGTTTTCTAATTTATATTTAAATTTTTGTTTAATCATATGTGAGTACAAGTGAGTTAAAATAAGAATTGTTTTCACATTTGGATATCATTGAAATATAAATTACTAATATTTGCTTATAGGTTGAAAATTTCATTAGTTACTTCATCAAGTTTTGGACATTTCCTATGTTACTTGTCCCTTTTGTTTTTTCTAAGTAAACATTTTCATGTTTCACTATGGGTACAGGTAAAAACAATCTTCTGTACTGTACATTTCCACTATTATATATATATATGTGTGTGTGTGTGTGTGTGTGTGTGTGTGTGTGTGAGAGAGAGATAATTGGAGACAATAACTTAATTTTATTTATTTAGTTTTTTAATGTGGTTGTGAGGATCAATCCCAGTGCCTCACACATACTAGGCAAGCACTCTACAACTGAGTCACAACCCCAGCCCCACATTTTCACACTTTTTAAATAATATTTTCATGGTGAAAAAGTTTTGCTTGTTCTATTTATGGGTGTGTGATCTTTAAACTTGTGAAAGAAATGCTTGGCCTTAAGTAAAAAGAAAGTTTAGAGAATACAAATCACCCCCATGATGTGACTGAAAAACTAGAACACCATATAATAATACTCACATTCCATCCCTCAGATTCTTGGTAATACTTAAGTATGCTTTTGAAACTGGTAAATGCTAACGACATGCCTCTAATGTTTTATTTATACCAACAAGTTAAGAAAAAAGAAAACACCAATTGTTTTGGTGTACAAGGGATGGATAGGTTTTTATTTTTCCACAAAAATGTAATGATTCATTAACAGTGATAAAGTAAAATGATGCATAGTTAAACTAATAAAGTAATAAAATAAAATGATGCATAGTTAAACTAATTTTGCATGGATTTATGTAGACAGGTTAATGTAAAATACACTTTGGCTATTATACCTCTCCCTTTTTCAAAATTTTATTTTTAAAAATTTTCTTCATTTTTTTGCATTAAGAATATAAAACATGGGAAAATATAACAAGGACTAGGTGACAATTAAATATCACATTTCTTATTTCAAAAAATTGAGCATGATTTTGATGTTGCTATTTTTGGAAAACTCTTAGAAGAATTTTGTATACAATATCTTTCTTTAAACAGAAAATATGTTATGGAATCAAAAATGTTTATTGCATCCCTTAGCTAATTCCTGTCTTTAATATAAAGCTAATGTTTAATATTTAAGAAAATTCAAGACACAAAAGCTAAACTCATAATAGAAAATCACGTAAAAGTATTTAAAAATAATCAAATAATTTTTTTTATGTTAAGTGGTGTTTGGAAAAGCAAAATCATTTATTTGGCGGTGAAAGAAATATTCATAAGCATTACCTTTATGGATGAAATATAAAAGTAAAAAGGTTTATATCACACAATGTAACCCAATAATACCAGTTGTTCTCCTCTATGCTTATAAACTAAATCAGGGGAAGTTAAACAAATTCAGGCTATCTCACTTTATAGAATACATTCTGTCCATAAAACAAAAGGGAACTTTCTGTTTCTATGCCTTATAGGCAGAAATAAAATTATATTTGCAATATACGGTTTTGAACATGATTCGAATTTCAAAATACAATTTCAACCAACTCAGCTAGTTCACTCAATAGAATATGAAACTCTTAACTTTTCAAATGTAAATGAACCAAAGAGTATAGATTTCATATCTAAATATCTATCAATGTATTATGCAGTATGTATGTACCTATCTATGTATCTAGCCAGCTACCTACCAATCCAAGTACAGCTATGAATAAACTAAAATATAGTAAAATAGTTGTGCACAAGCTTACTTAGCTATTATTAAAATTACTAGTTTAAAATAATTTTCAACTGCTAAACACAAACAGTATTGGGAAAGGAATATACTGCCCTACTGCTTTTAGTCTTCTTTAATAAACACGGTAATATTGAAAAAAATATATATGGCCTATTATATTGTATAAAACTTTTAAGAAATTATTTTTCCCTTTATGTATATTGTACTTATATAGTACATAATGCATATTATATATATATTTTTATATACAAGTTTGTATGTATGTGTGTATATATATGAGAGATGTTAAGAAATTTGTGAGATCAAATAAAGGGAAAACGAACAGAACTGATCCATGAACTGGAGGAACCAAAGGAAAATAAGACAGGTAGCATGGTTTTTATCCTATTCTGTCCCAAGGCATTCCTTTTAACTCCTGTATAAAACATATTGAATTTAACTCAGCCCTATGAGACAATAAGGTGATGAAGATTAGACAAAAAAAGAAAGAAACAACTATTCACTCTTCCATGGATGTTCTTAGAGTACTGACCAAGTTAACTCTCTGCCTATGCCTTCAGCTAAGACAGTCATTGACTTGGGGACCTATGGGGAGAGCCCCTTGCATAAATATTTATGGCATGGGGGCACCAGCAAAAATAGGGATGATATTTCTAGACAGTACAATGGAACCTGTTTAAAACAACCCATGAATTCAATACATAAACATTAAAACTGTCTTTTGTTCGATATAAATTTCTTTTCATGTGAAATATAAACTCTGAATTTCTGAGTTCGTCTCTGGTTCTATTCAACAGTTTGTCCCTACTACTTACCAGTGTATTTCACTTGAAGTCATGAGAACTAGCATGTATAGAATACTAATGTAAGCTAGGTGGGATTGTCAGTACTTCATTTGTATTATTACTTTATCTTCTAAGTTATAGGCCTTGGGGCATGCAGAAGTTACTCTTGATTATAAACCTGGGAATTGCAAGACTGGAATTAACTAGTCTATTCTAAATATTTCTAAATATTTTATCAAATGTTCTGTGTAGTGTTATGGATATTATTGGATACGTTATTGAATACAGAGCAAGTAAACCTCAAAAAAAAGGACTGAAATAGGACCTGAAGAAGTTGTTGATTGTGTTATTTCTATCAAAAACTACAGAGGAATTACTGGTTGGAAAATTGCCCAGTGTGAGGAGGACTGGCTAAATCTCTTGGAGTACATTTAGGGAAATATCCAGGCTTTGAGAAAATATGCATGCCAAACTACCAAATTTATACAAGAGCAACCTGACCAAATAAATGGAAAAAGGAAAATGTAGGGACTTACACTAACATTTTAATAGAAGTACATCCCATTTTCTGTAATTGCATGTATTTGTGTATTATCAAGTTTAAAGGCTTAATCAGAAGATGATAATGCAGAGGCTGGGGTGGTGGCGCAGTGGTAGAGCGCTCACCTCGCACATATGCATCCCTGGGTTAGATCATCAGCACCACATAAAAAAATAAATAAATAAAATGAAGGTATTGTGCCCAACTACAACTAAATTTTTTTTTTTAAAAAAGAAGATGTTAATGCATTTCAAATTTTATGAACTGATTAGAATCATTCACATTTAAGTAAAAATGGGGTATGTTAATTATAGAGCTAAAATGGAATATGATATATGGTTTTGAAAGAAAGACAGGGCAAATTCAAGGACAATGATTGGCGAGGGAGAAAGGAAGTGACAAATATTTTCAGAAGAAAAGCAAATGTAAAGGAGATGCAGACTGAAGGAAATTCTTGGAGGGTGAGAAATTTTATTTCTTTCTATTAAACTTCATTTCCTCCTCAGCTATTTGTAGTTTGTCAACCCACTGATTAAATAAAAATCACTAATATAATGAAAATAAAATTGGAAGTCAGTTTTTGTGCATTATTTCATATATATATATATATATATATATTATGTATATTTTAATTTAATTACACATGTGCTTAAACTCTTAATATGGGTAATACATAGTCTGAGAAACTCCTAGATATCATCACTTAATTTTCCTTCATAAAATTATTTACTTGTACAAATAAAAACAAAAAAAATATGTTCACTTGCAATAATTATAATGAGTTCATCTTTTATTTTATTTTCATAAAAAATGTATGTGGAACACAATGGAATATTACTCAGGCATAAAGAAGAAAGAAATTTGGCAAATGTTGGTAAATGGATGGAACAGGAGAATATCATGCTAAGCAAAATTAGTCAGTCCCCCCAAAAAGGCCTAATATTCTCTCTGATAGGCAGATGCTAACTCACAAGAGGGAGGATGGAGGGAGGAGTGGAGCTTCACTGAACTGCACAAGGAGGAATGGATAAAGGGAGGGGAATGGGAATGGGAAAGACAGTATAATGAATCAGACATAATTTTCCAATGTTCATATACATATGCATGACCAGTGTAACTCCACATTATGAACATCCACAAGAATGGGAAGTTATACTCCATGTAGGTATGAGATGTCAAAATACATTTTACTGAGATGTATAAATAAAAAGATCAAATAAAAAAGGTATGAGAGTTGCTACAAAGAACAACACAAATTCAGGTCATAAATACATCTACATTTTACTTAGACATTATGTGTATGAGTGTGTATAATAGTATCTAAAATTATATTGAAAAACACAGTGTTTTCCCCCCTTTACTCTTATTTGGATTTAATTTGAGAGGGGCATTTAATTTAATATAGTATATATAAAAAATGCTATTTAGGGGGGCTTACTCAGGTTCTAATAAAATAGAAGATTTTCAAATTACATTTTAGACAAGTATAACTAACAGTGCAAGAAAATAGTGAGATTGTTCAGCTACTTCTGAATTTATTAAACTATGTTTTCATTATCAGTCTAGGCTAGCAATGAGCTGACTCTGTGTACTTTGAGCAAGGCATGTTAATTCTTTTGGACTCATGTGTAAATATTTATTAAAGAAAGTATGCAAACCAAAATTATAGTGCCTTTGACATACTATATTTTATATAATAAGATAATTAAAAATAGAAACACAAAGTCAATTAGTGGACCATAGAAGCAATACATTCACCAATGTCAGTAATAAAGAATAATAACTATCCCCTACAAAAAGAATCTGGATTTATCTGTGTAATTTTTTTCATGTACATTTTTAAATTTTTATTAATTAGCTTCAATTAGAGTCATATAACTTCTTGTTGTGTAACTTTTTTTGTGGATTCCTATCATGGAGTGCAATTGGCAATGGTAAAAAAAAATTCTCATTTTTAAAGCCTGATCAGAGGTTGCCCTGCTTACAACTTAATCTTCTGTAAATGAAATACAGGAATTATTTTAGAATGAGACAATCTACAAGCCTCCATTCACACATAAAGTTTATATTTTGTATTCTGAAGAACTGAATCATTGAAGACTTAATATATATATATATATATATATATATATATATATATATATATACACACAAAATGCTTAGTTCAGTCTTGATGCCTTTATGTACTTAGTAATATTAATATAATCTAAATTAGAATACTAGTATAAGGAAGAATCTGATTAGGCAGACAGACGGTAGGAATGTATAGAGTGAGAGATAATAGTTCATTCAATATCACTATAAAATTCAGGAGAAAATACAGGCTTTTTAAAATTTAAATATCAATAGTCTCTTATGATATTCTGTTTTAAAATGTGAAGTAATGCTTTGGAAATTTTTAAAGTATATTTATATTTTAATCAACTACAGTCAAATTTTCTCATATTACAATATTTATGTTATCTTTTGTGTGCTATTGAATTTCCTATACATGTCAAATCTTTCTGAAGAAAGAAAAGTATAAGTTTTGGTATTGTAAAAGGTAAAAATATCTGTTAAAATATGACACATATAAAATGTTTTACAAATTTTAAGGAGTATTATCAAAAACCACATCACTTGAAAACAATTCAATAGTAAATTGAATACTAAAGAGGAATATAATTTAAAATGTACTCTCATATGAAATATAAAAAGACCATGATATGTACCTAAATTACCCTTGTGATGGAACACTATAGACCAATCCAAGGAACTGTACCAGGCTAACAGATATAAGAATAATATTAAAGAAAATATATCCACTCATGTTTTATTCCAGGCTTTATGATTTCACAGGACTCCTTTTTATCCCCCAAAACAATAGAACAGCACTTTTTTCAAACAAATGAGATTTTATTTGCCTTTAAAAGAAATTACTTCTTTATAAACTCTTGGTTCTTCTTGCCAGATACTCATATTTAACAAGTATTTTACATAAAATCCTCAGTAAAAATGTGTACAAGTATTTTTTCTACCTACATAGAAGTTATTTTAGATTGAAAGTTATGTTAGTTAAAATAACATCAAATATATACTTAAGACTATTAACCCTCATATGCAGCTTGCATATTTTGTATACCATAAGTTTTATCATTTTTAAGAAATATTTTATACTTAAGCATCTACTCTTATTAACAAATATAAACCGCCTACATGAATAGTGATAAATGTAGTCACTCAGATATTAATATTAATATTTGGATATTAATGAGTTAAATTTAAAATCTTAGGTAGATGTAATATGAGAAACAGTTATTTTCATTTTCCTTTATAAACCTTTGTTCAGTTGTGGAACATGAACAAAAATAAACTGAAAAACAAGAAAAAAAGCCTGGAATCTTGCCATGAAGCTACCAGGTTATTTGATACTAATCCAGTTGCTAAATCTTTGTGAATTCTGAATTGCTAATTAACAGAATGGGGATATAAACTTTTATTTCCCATGCTTCTTAAAAAAAAGTTTTTTGAAAGATCAAATGAGATAATGCTTCAGAATAAATTTGTCAAATGAAAGCTTTAGGTTTTGTAATTCAAAATAACGCAAGCAAAGTTGTCCAATATTGCCTGCACTATTATTCCTTTCCCTTCTCATAGAAATGTCTTCTACTTGCTCTCATTTGAGTGACAATTGAGTAGAGCTGAAGGTATCCATGACAATGCAATGAAATAATTGTTCTCAGTAACTTGTTATGTAATAAGAGACTCTAAGTACATGTAATTGAAACTAAATAGGAAGTTTACACTAAATAGCAGTTTTATGTTACAGCTCTTATCATGAAAGAGGTCACATATCATAACCACATCCTCATATAATTTAGCAAACAAATATAGTGATTAGTTGACTAGGAAATACCTACCCACTCCAGACATTTCAGGAACACTGGCAGTATATAAGTCTTTTGTAAATTTTGGCTCATTGTCATTGATATCATGAATTTTAATGATAAATTCTGATTCTGGTTCCACCTGTCGACCAGTCTTTCTGTCTATAGCCTTGGCTCGAAGAATGTAGAGGGATTTTTCTTCTCTGTCTAATTTCTTTGCAGCATGAATGTCTCCTGTATTTTCGTCTATGACGAACAGACTGCCAGCCCCATCTCCTGTTAAAATGTATTTTAAATTTCCATCTCCTTTATCTTGGTCAGTATGAAGCTTCAAAGAGGTAAAAAAGAAGAGTTCTGTGAACACATGCATTATTACAGTAAAAATAATTTTGGCACATATCAACTAGACAATATCACTACAAATATGCTATCTTATTTTCATTGAGCAGAAACTAAACATTTCAGGTTTTGTTTTGCTAAATATTTTCAACAATTTCATTTATACATCACACGAAGCTAGACTGAAATAAAAAGGAAAATAAATGTATCTCTTTCAATGCATAGTATTTGAAAGATATTTTTAAGTAGAACACTACAAAGAAATCTTTGTTACCTCTAGAGATAAAAAAAAAATACGTTAACTCAGATCTTGAGTTTTAAATACCAAGTAATCATTGTAATATTTAAAATAATGAAACTCAAAGTTATGGTATAAGGAATTTCTGAACTTGATATAATGCTAAGTTTAAGATGAATAACTTAATTTTAAATTGATTTTATCACCATCCAATATAACATTGTCAAACTGCAGACTCTGTATTCAGGGAGGCTAGTCAGAGAGAATTTCAAACTCATATTTTCTGTATCACTTTTGAAGAGTACCTTTTCAACCACAATATTCTCACTTGGAGGAAATTATTTTGTAGACATTTTAAATTTAAAGTGAAACAAAACATGACTTTCCTCTTTGTCCATATATATTAGGTCTTAATAGAAATAAGTATTTATTCACAAATTATTTTCTTTCAAAAACTACCCTTAAATAACTTCTTAATGTAGAAAGCTCACCAATGAAAATTTAAAACAGTTTTATAATCAAAGAAACTTTGATTTGTAAAAGTTTTAAAAGTTTTGGTAATTCTTTAAAAATCAGATTGAGAAATAATAATTGTGTATGTTAAAAAATTGTGGATTATGATATGATGTTTTGATGTATGTGTATATTGAAGAATGAGTAAATAATTACAGATTAATTAAATCAGGCTAATTAACCAATCCATCATCTCAGTCTTATCATTTTTTCTTCTGAGGTAAAGTCATTTACAAAAAAATGTATGGAGAAAGTGTGGTGTTATTTAAATGGTACAACACTTCACCTATACAGGAAGAATAACCTTCAGTGATTTATTGTACAAAATATTAACTATTATAACTAATAATGCTCTTAATTTCAAAATTGCTAAAACTGTAGATTTTAATAAGACTGGAATCCTAACTAGTCTCCCCTTCTGGTATAGTCTTATACCACATTCATCACAATTCTTATTGTTCTGAACTTACATATTTATCATGTCCAAATCCATCTTTGAATTGATTGTTTATATAAATGCTGCTTTTTATGTTAGCCAAAGTTTGAAACTTGTTTCCTTTTTTATCCTTCTTTGTTTTAAATCTATTAAAATAATCATCATATGTAATCTGTCATTCTTTGAAATAATTTCTTCATTTGTCTTCCCTCCTTGGCTAATACTCTGGCTTTTCCTCCAACATACTTCCCCAGATCACTGCAGTAGTCTCCTGATCATGCTACCTCTATTCTTGCTCTATTTCAAACATTTTTTCACTTTTCTACATCACAAATATAAACATTTTACTAGAAATTAAAAATCTTCAACAAGGCATAGTGTTTATGACCATGAATTTTAAACTAGGATTAGTTTCATGCAAATTTAAGTATTATATTGGGAACATCCTTTTGCTTTTTTTGTTTATTTTATAATTTAAGTCTCTTCCATTGAAAAGGGATAATGTCAATATTTAAAAATAGCCTTTACATTATTATCATTATAATTTCCTAATGTCTGTTACCTCATTCACACATCCATAATGTGGCCCTTCATCCTGGAGGCTCTGCTACTTTGCCCCTTCTTTATGCCTCCCATACCTACCAATTGTTTTGTTTTCCATTGTTTTTTTAATTTCATTTCTCAGGAAGCCTTTACCTGTTTTCACAGCTGGTGTTTCCATATGTATCTTTTCACCTTTAAACACCTTCCACTCTTTTTTTGTTTTCTCCTAAATAAATAATTGGCATATCTCATTTTGACATTTTCTTTTCAGGGCAACTTCTAAGGTAACACTTCACTCCCCACCCTGACATTCATCAAGTTAAGTATAGTTTTGAACCATGCTACTAAAAGGTAAAATAACTTAGGAAAACATAGATGTCCATTTTAAATAACTCAATATATATTTCTTCTCTCACACACACACAAACACACACACATATATTTATACATGTATATTCATAAGAAAACCAAATGATTATTCTCTTTCTAAATAGCATCTTCTCAAATAAATAAAAGGATTTGTCTATCATTGATTAATAGAAAAAATCAGAATAGAAATAAATTAAATTACATATTAGAAATCTCTAAAGTCCATAATACTTTATTGATCAGTGATTATTTTTCCTCAAAACATTTATAAAAGTATTTTGTATATTTATCTCTGTATCACCTGTTCTTTTACTTTAAGAGGAGAAACAAAATAATGAAGAAAATTATTGGAAAAAGATGATGGAGATGGATGGGTAAATAGAGAATAATGTAGTTATGAAAGTCTGTCAATTTGGCAAAAATTGTAGAATTAACTGAAAAGTTTACTTTATTGAGTTGGCTAGGCTAATTAATGTACTAGAGAATCACCTGGAGCCATCAAAATTATGGTCTACATAAACGTTGAATGTAAATCTTTGATTAAGCAACATACTTTTAAGTAGGATACTAATGGTGCAATGCAGTTTATCTTTTCATGGTTTTATGTCATTATTTTTCATAAAAGTAAACAACTACACATAATAATTATTAAAATTTTAATTCATCTTTAAATATCTTTAATTTTTAAGCTATACATATTTTATGCATCTTAGGAATAAATTTGTATTGATTTCTTGAAACAGGAAAACAAAAATAATCAGAAACCACATATAAATGAATTATAAAGTACCTCTTCACAGTTATATTCTAAGATTCTCTGATTCATGCTTATTATACCTACAGGAAAAGAAATGTAAGAGATTTGTGAATTATCTCTATTGTCCTGTATAATTTTAGAGTGTAAACATGGAAGTGTCACTTTGATGCTGCAATTTGCTTAAAGTCATGGAATACTAAGTACTGTGGACAAAGAATAGATAAATTTTTCAGTGACATCTATTTAATTCTTATAGTAATTATTGATAACCAACTTAGGTACATAGCAGAAAGTCTAAATGGTTGTAATAAACTCTATAGAAATTTTGAATACATATGAATATATAATAAAAAATAATTGTACTTTTTTTCTATGTCTTTTCCTGTTATTTTCCAATGTGTTTAACATAATGGTATTATTTTAAGGAAGTATTTTCTTGCCTTTTATGATTTAAGTAATGTTCAATACTTTATTGTGTTGCATTGATCTCTTCATGAAACTGAACTTGTAATTCTCAAAATTAAATATGATTCTACATCCTGTTTAGATTAATGTTTAAATACTCATGGAAATACYTTCACTTTCAGTTATTTTATCCTCATTCAAAATACATAACAGTCTGGAAAATGTTTACATAAACACAATAGCTTTCATAATCACTCCTCTTCTATTTGAATGGTTTTATAATCAGTGTTACAATGTCAAAGAAATGGAGCATTACACATATTCTTCACACAGAGGATGTTGACTAAGACAAATTGAAACATTCATGAAATTATAGGATATTATAAAGAAGTATACTGTCTGAATGTAATTTAATTTATAAATAAAAGATTTGCAAAAAATGGTAAAATCATTTTACCATTTTACTATTGAGATTGTAATAATGGTGATTTTATTTTTTATATCCACCTGATCTAATTTCTTCCAAAATATTTTATACATAGCTTTTTATTAAAATATTATTTTCAGGAATTTTTATATAATACCATACATACATATTAAAAGGTCATTTTTGCAATTATTTTTAGTATATTTTTAACTGATACATAAAAATCATACATATAAACACAATATTAGTTAATAGTTAATACACATCTACATTGTTTTTGTTTAAATCAGTTTAAACATATTTATATCCTTGATTATTTATTATTTCTTTATGGTGAATACTTTAAAATTCATTTTATAGCTATTTGTAAACTTACTTTATTTTATTTATAATCAATCCAGAGTGCAATACCATACCAGAGCTTTTTTAATGTTTTACTGTAACTTAGTACCTATTGATCAATCTTTCTCCATTGTTCCCACATGCCTACTCTAAAAGGTTGAGGTATTTTGTAAATGGAAAGAAAATACTGAACAGTAGTGAAAAATGGTTGTAAAGGTCAGGTATGACCATGCGACCACTTGCAGAAACAAGGACATACTTTTTGTGACTCTTTTTCTTTATTTTGTTGAATGTATTTGTGAGTATGTGTGCAAATATTTCAAATAAACTTATTTTATTCACTCCATTATCATGTAATATTAAAGATGGTGACCTGAAATCTTACAATTTAATTATTGCTAATTATATATCATGGCATTTATGTTATAGCATATTATTGAGAAAATAAACAGAACTCAAGGGTGAAGGTAAACTCTGGGGAAGGAGTTAGTATTTTATTGTAAGCAGGGTTGCTGTGTCATGTTAGGTGGGATTATGACCTTGTTTCTGTTTTATTTGGAGACAATGTGTTGTGTAAAGAGATGTCACCTGTGAAAGTCAATTTGGCAAGGATGGGAATTTTGATGATAATTTTATGTGTCAACTTCACTAGCTTGTCCAGATATCTGGTAACATATTATTTTGGATGTCTGGGTGAGGGTGTTTTGGGATGAGATTAACCTTTAAATCCATAGACTAAGCAAAGGGTATTGCCCACCACCACCACATGGGATGGTCTTCCTTCAACGCCTTGAAGTCTTGTGTACTAAGAAAAATCTTGAGAAAGGAAGAATTTACCCTGACTATGAGTTGACACAGCAGGCTGGTCATGCTTTGGACTCAGATCCAGGGTAGGACTTATTCCATTCATTGAGTTCTTTTAGACTCAGATGAAAATGATATCATGGATTCTCACCAGT